GAAGAGTGGAAGAGAAATATATTTTCAAATATATTTAAAAATATTGAGAAAAAGTGAGAGAAAAAAGGAATAAAAAAATATTTAAGCAACGATTGAACGAGACAATTTTTATATTTAACTCTAAGAGAGTATATGTATTATATTACATAAGAGATTATATTATATTATATCTTACTTACTTTTTATATAAATATGTATGGATAGTCTGCCAAAATGCATCTATGTCAAAGACATGTTGTAACATGCGGAGTATAACGGATGCTACGACAATTTATATTATAAAAAATATGATTAAATATATTCAGAATAAATTTATCACAACTTTTTTTAAATGAAGTTAATTTGGTAAAGAAATTTTAATTTTAATTTTTCAATGTTTATGTGTCTGTGTATGTATATGAATATATATGTTTATGTACGTGTGTACATATACGTATATATTATATTAATAAACTGAAGATAAATTTTTTTATTTTTAGCTTTTTAAATTTTATTTGTTAGCATAGAAATTTATAAGTGATCATTTAATCATGTTCAATCAATAGTAAATTTTTTTAGTAATAATAAATTTTTTTGTTTTTATCTTTCTAAATTTTGTTTGTTACATTAGCATAAAAATTTATATGTGATCATTTAATCATGTTCAAACAATCATACCTTTGATGTAATTAGGAATCTCAACCGAAACGACTTTGCCTTGATAATTTCGAGGTAACATTCTGTCATCAACGTCAAAATGAAGGGATTCATGTTGAAATTGGACCACGAACAAGTCTATTATCCGAAAATTTGACAAAGTCTAAAGAAGAAAGTTTTGATGTGATTATATAAATATTCAATTGGAAGAAAAATGCTTTATTCTTTATTCTTTCTCATATAGTTAAAAATAAAGTATCTTTTAAAAATAACATGCAATGTAATTGATTCGGATTAAACATTAAAAATCGTTTAAAATGTATTGTTACACACAAACTTTTTAAAAATCTTTTTGATTTAAATATGTATACTGAGATAATATATTGAGGTCTAATCAAAAATTATCCGACCTTATTTTTTTTGCGTGAACCAGCTGCAGCCCAGTGAGGGTACTAATGCAGCTCAATGCAGATATTATAAAAATTTGAAAGAATTGAATCATTCTGATTTTAATTGACTAACGATAAGAAAAAAATAAAAAAAATAAAAATATATAT